ACTCCCACCACCACCCCCACTCCCCCAACGCCTCCACCACCACCTCCACCGACCCCTCCACCCCCTCCAAGCCCTTGCCCCCCTTGCCCTTGCCGTGCGGCGTCTCCCACTCAAGTCAGAGGCACCGCCGACCGACTCGAAACCAATGAGGCCGCCGCAGCAGCAGAGGCGATAGAGGGCAAGAGGGGGAGGGAGAACACCCCTCAAAGACGGGGGTGCGAGGGTCACCACGAGAGGCCCCTACAGCGTCTATGCTCTTCTCTATCGCTAGGAGGGCCTTCTCGAGGAGGTCAACGGTGAAAGTGGTGGGGCAAACAGAGAGGAAGTAGTCCCTGACTACGCGAAGAGAGTCAAGGAGCCGGGTGACTATGTAAAAGAGGGTGATGTACATGGGGGGGGGGGGGGGGGGTTCTTGGCGCAGAACTCAGCAGGAAGCGCAGCGCGGTAGCGAGTGTCAAGAGTGCGGAGGTGCGTAATGAGGTCAGCGACAGTGGGAAAGGCAGCAAGGTCAGGGAATAGGAAGGGAAGCATGAGGCGGCTCAGTGCAGCAGTGGCAGGGAAGAGTAGCGTGCAACTACAGCGTCGTACAGGGTCTGAGCACTCTTGTACTGGCTTAAGTGTGCACGCTCAGTGGTCGGTAAGTGGCGGCGAACAGCAATGCGAGCAGCAGCATCACGTGTGGCCCACTGTGAGCGAACAGTGGCGTCAGCATCAGTAGCAGGGGCAGGGGAGGCACTAGAAGTGAGGTCAAACAGGGAGAGGCCGTCTGCCCTATCGCACTGCAGAAAAAGCTGTAGATCATCTACCCAGACCTCAAAGTCCACTGCCTGACCCTCAGCATCAAAAGTGAGAACGCTAGGGGAAGTCATAACAGCAGTAGGGAGGCAGTGAGCGCAGTGAGGCAGAGACTGAGCTCTTACCAGGCAGGTGGGGCGATCGGGCTGCTCGGCGGCTCGGCTGCAGGGCGGCTCGGCTGCACGGGCGGCTCGGCTGCTGGGCGGCTCGGCTGCACGGTGCTGGGCAACTCGGCTGTTGGGCGGCTCGGCTGTCGGGCGGCTCGGGTGCTGGGCGGCTCGGTTGCTGGGCGACTCGGACGTAGGGGCGGGCCGTAGCATGGGCTTTAGTGGGGCCGCAGTGGGGCCGAAGTGGGGCCGACGGAGCCTTAGCGGGGCCGGAGCGGGGCCGACGGGGCCGTAGCGGGGCTGTGGCGGGGCCTCAACGAGGCAGACGGGGCGGTAGTTGGGCTGTAGCGGGGCCGCAACGGGGCCTAAGAGGGGCCGTAGCGGGGCCAACAGGGCCGACGCGGCCGTAGTGGGGCCGAAGTGGGGCCGACAGGGCCGTAGCTGGGGCCGTAGCGGGGCCGACAGGGCCGTAGCGGGGCTGTAGCGGGGCCGCAACGGGGCCGAAGTGGGGGCCGACGGGGCCTAAGCGGGGCCATAACGGGGCCGACGGGGCCGTAGCGGGGCCTAAGCGGGGCTGTAGCGGGGCCGACGGGGCCTAAGCCGTGCTTTAGCGGGGCCGTCGGGGCCTAAGCGGGGCCGACGGTGGGCTAGGCAGGGCCGACGGGGCCGTAGCGGGGCTGTAGCTGGGCCGCAACGGGGCCAAAGTGGGGCCGACGGGGCCTAAGCGGGGCCACAACGGGGCCGACGGGGCCGTAGCGAGGCTGTAGCGGGGCCGCAACGGGGCCAAAGTGGGGCCGACGGGGCCTAAGCGGGGCCGACGGAGCCTAAGCGAGGCCGCAACGGGGCCGACGGGGCCTAAGCGGGGCCAATCGGGGCCGTAGCGGGGCCTAAGCGGGGCTGTAGCGGAGCCGACGGGGCCTAAGCGGGGCCGACGGTGGGCTAAGCGGGGCCGACTGGGTCGAAGTGGGGGCCGACGGGGCCTAAGCAGGGCCGACGGGGCCTAAGCGGGGCCAAAGCGGGGCCAACGGGGCCGTAGTGGGGCCGACGGTGGGCGGCTCGAGGGGCAGTAAGGGCGGCCAAAAGGCGTCTCGGGGCGCTACTCGGGTTAGGAGGTAAGCGCGCTCCGGGCAGAGAAGAAAAAGTACGTGGTGGGCCCTAGGCAGTATTCCCACTCGGGAACCTGCTCGATACCATGACGAGAAGTGAGAATGGATGAATGAACTATGAAACAGTTGGGTACAAGTACTAACCCTAATTGGGTTGTACCCCATATGGGCTACCCCACTACAGCCTACACAAATGTATAAGCTATCATGTTCTGACAGTTTGACCACACGTCCGGCATCGCTCCCGCACCTGCTGCTACTGCTGACAGTGCGGCTCGCTCACAGTGGCAGACCCGTGACGCTCACGCTCGCCTAGCCATTCACAGGCACCTGCCGTTAGATAAGCGCGAGCATTTTGGCCAGCATAAGACCGCTCATGAGCTGTACAATGGTGTAGTTGCGCGCTACTCCTCCCCTACTACTGCTGCGATAGGCCGTCTCTCGCTGCCCTATCTCTTCCCCGATCTATCCGCCTTTGCCACTGTAGCTGACCTTATCACCCACCTCCATACTAGTGATCTCCGCTACCGTGCCGCGCTTCCTCCCAATTTCCTCGCCAAGAACCCTCCCCCGATGTACCTCACACTCTACCACCTAGTCACTCGCCTCCTTGACTCTCTTTGCGCTGTCAGGGACCACTTTCTCGCCCTCTCCCCTACTGACCTCACTGTCGACCTGCTCGAGAAGGAACTCCTTGTAGCTGAGACTAGTTTTGTAGCTGTAGGTGCCTCTCGTGGCGACCCTTGCACTCCCTTCTTTGAGGGATGTTCCCCCTCCCCCCTTCTCCCCTCCATTGCATCTGCTGTTGTTGTCGGCTACCTCGGTGCTGAGGAATTCGGGGCTGCGTCTGCTCCTAGTGGGAGGCGCAAGGGCGGCAAGGGCAAGGGGGGCAAGGGTGGCGGAGGTGGCGGCGGTGGCGGCGGTGGTGGAGGGGGTGGAGGGGGCGGGGGTGGTGGCGGTGGTGGGAGTGGTGCTGGAGGTGGGGGGTCAGTGGCGGAGGTGGGGGTAGTGGCGGCGGCGGTGGTGGGGGTGGCGGGGGTGGTGGTGGCAGTGGTGGCGGCAGTGGAGCTGGTGGCCGGTGCGGTGGAGCGGTGCAGCGCGAGGGGTTCGGCGGTGGCCAGAGGCTACAGCAGCAGCGTCCCAGCAAGACCCCGTCGCCCCAGCAGCTCCGTGAGTGGTTCTCTCAGCGTGGGGGGTCTGGGGGTGGAGGTAGCTGCGCGTACATCATCCGCACAGGTGACCGCACTGGCCAGACCTGTGGGAGGTTCCACACGGCGCAACGCTGCTTCTTTCGTCTCGACGACGCCTGGCGCGAGCAGTTTCCTGACGCCTCTGAGCTGCCCCGCTGGGCTGATCTACTGAATAAAACATTGATATCTTTGCTCTTGATTTGATGCTATCCTTGGTGCCATGTATGCATTGACTGTTAGTGTTGAGGGTGGCTGTTACCTGCGTGTACCGCCCGACCTGGGGTATTGGGACCAGTGAGGCTGCCGGCTCTATGTGCTAGTGAGTCTGCTGCCCTAGGTCCTGGTGAGGCTGCTGCTCTAGGTGCTAGTGAGTCTGCTGCTCCAGGTGCTCGTGCGTCTCCGCCTGCTGGTACTGCTGCTCTACTGAGGCACTGGCACACCTTCACACTGGACTCAGGTGCATTCTCGCTGCTTCTTTCGTGACCGCACTGTCCTTGAGCAGCTAGCTCGGCCTGTTGCTGTCTCCCTAGCTGACCCCTCTGGGGGCCTGGTCCTTGCGACCATCCTCCACTGTCCTCCCTTGTCCTGTGGTCCCGTCCGGCACCCTGTCAGGTCTCTACCTCCCCTCGTTCTCTACGAACTTGGTGGCGGGCTCTGTTCTCCAGGACGGGGGTGTTCATCATTTCACCCCTGCCCATGAGCATGTGACCCACTTCACGTGTGCTCGGTCGGGTCGCCACCTGGCTACCTTCACTAGGCAGCCGGGGTCCGACCTGTACACATTGACCGCTGAGTCCCCTGAGGTAGCTTTGTCTGCGTCTGCGTCATGTCAGATGTCGGCCCCCTACTCGTATTGCACCTTGTCGCACCAGACCGCCCTCTGGCACCACCGCCTTGGTCACGCTGTCAGAGCAAGCGCCTTCGTGGCATGCACTCCCGGTACCTTGTCTCTGGTCTTCCCAGGACCCTGCCTCCCCTGCCACCCTCCCCTGCCCCTCCTTGCCTTCCCTGTATCAAGGGGCGGCATCGCGCCGCTCCTCACCTACTCCTCGTTCCCCCCAACAGAAGGCTCCCCTGCAGACTCTCCACCTGGACGTGTGGGGCCCAGCCCACGTCCGGTGGACAGGGTGGAGAGCGCTACTTCCTGCTGGTGGTTGACGACTACACGCGTTACACCACGGTCTTCCCCTTGCGCATCAAGGGTGAGGTCCCTGATGTTTTGATCCCTTGGATCCGCAACAGTCGTCTCCAGCTGCACAAGCGCTTCCACACGGACTTTCCTATCCTGCGCCTACACTCTGACAGAGGTGGTGAGTTTTCCTCTGACCTCTTGAGGGCCTTTCGTCAGGGGGAGGGCATTGAGCAGTCGTTCACGCTTCCGGCCTCTCCTCAGCAAAATGGGGTTGCTGAGCGCCGCATTGACTTAGTCATGGAGGTCGCTCGTACCTCCCTGATCCATTGCGGTTGCCCCCTATTTTCTGTGGCCGTTTGCCAGTTCAAAACGCTGCGCATCAGCTCACCTCTGGCCCCGTGTCTCCGTTCCGGAGACCTCGCTGACACTGCATTGGACGGGAGAGGTTGGCGATACGTCGGTGTTTCGGGTCTGGGGATCTCGTGCTTTTTTCCGGGATACGTCCGTGGACAAGCTCTCCGCCCGGCTGTTCCCTGTGTCTTTCTTGGCTTCCCCATTGACGCGCCTGGCTGGCAGTTTTACCACCCCACCTCGCGCCGTGTCTTCGCCTCTCAGGGACGTCACTTTGACGAGTCGGTACCCTTTTACCGTCTTTTCCCCTACCGCACTGCCCCGCTTCCCCCCTCCCCCGCCGTTTTTTCCTCACCCTAGGTGTCCCTTCGGTAGACCCATCCCTCCCCAGGGTCCTGCTCCCTCAGGTGTTTCCCAGGTAGACCCAGTCGAGCCTGTCGAGGTAGCTGTCGACTCTGGTCCCTGCGAGGGGTACTGAGCCTGGGGGTGCTGAGACTGGGGGTGCTGAGCTTGGGGGTGCTGAGACTGGGGGTGCTGAGCCTGGGGGGTGCTGAGACTGGGGGTGCTGAGCCTGGGGGTACTGCGACTTGGGGTGCTGAGACTGGTGGTGTTGAGCCAGGGGGAGCTGAGGCTGGAGGTTCTGAGACTGGCCGTGTTGCGCCTGGTGGCGCTCCCTCTTCACAGCAGCTGCGTGAGTGGTACTCTCAGCATTGCAGCCTCCAGCGTGGGGCTGCTGGAGCTGGGGGTTCTGCTAGAGTTGGAGCTGTGGTGCTGCGGGTGTCGTGTCCCGGCCGGAGCCTCCATCCCCACTGCGGCTGCGTCAGTGGTACGCTTGACGCTGCAGCCTCCGGAGCGGCGCTCCTAGCGCTGGGGTGCTGCCCGCTGGAGGCCCTGGTGCTGCTGGAGGTGCTGAAGCCTTTGGTCCTGGAGGTGCTCGTACAGGCGGTACTGGAGCTGCTGGGACTGGGGGTTCTGCTGGAGCTGGTGCTTGAGCTGCTGGAGCTGCTGGTGGTGCTGCTGGAGGTGCTGCTGGTGCTGGAGCTGCTGGAGGTGCTCCTCGTGCTGGAGCTGCTAGAGGTGCCACTGGTGCTGGAGCTGCTAGAGGTGCTGGAGCTACTGGAGCTGCTCGTGGTGTTGCGGGAGTTGTAGCTAGAGACCCTGGGGCTGAGGGTGCTGGTGCTGTCTCTGCTGGTTCAGGAGGTGCTGCGCGGCTGCGGCCGTACTACATTCTCCGCCAGGCACCCCGTAAGTGGCACGACACACTGAGGACTACTCTTGCTGCTCTTGGGTTTGCTCCTTCTATTACTGACTCGTTGCTGTTTCTACGCAACGGCACCACTCTGCAGCCGTTCTACGTGCGGAGATAACTACTACAACGGGAGCTAGACTACTGGCTAGGCACGTGTGCTCGTGTGATCTCTGCGTTCGTTGGTC